CGCCATAGTGTACATGTAGGAATGTCCTTACCGATTGAACTTTGCAATTTCTACACTGATTTTCGACACGTTGTTTGACACTTGCATTATTGTCAAGTGTCAATTGGATTGGAAATATGTTTGAAATTTAAACGGTCCAACAGGGCAATATCAAGTGGCAAAGTGTAAACTAAAGTGTACACCATAGTGTACATGTAGCAGGGTTCGTACCGATTAAACTTTGCTATTTGTACACTAATTTTTGACACGTTGTTTGACACTTGCATTGTCGTCAAGTGTCAATTGGGTGGGTAAACTGTTTGAAATTTAAACTGTCCAGCAGCGTAATGTCACAATGCAAAGTGTAAACTAAAATGTGTACACCATAGTGTATATGTGGCAAGGTTCTTAAAAATTGAACTTTTCTATTTGTAAACTAATTTTTCAGATGTTGTTTGACACTTGCATTGTTGTCAAGTGTCAATTGGATGGGAAAACTGTTTGATACTTAAACTGTCCAACCAGGTAATGTCACATGGGAAACTGTAAACTGAAGTGTACACCATAGTGTACATGTAGAAAGGTTCTTAAAGATTAAACTTTGCTATTTGTACACTTATTTTTGACACGTTGTATGACACTTGTATTATTGTCAAGTGTCAATTGGATGGGAAAACTGATTGAAATTTGAATTGTTCTACAGGATAATATCACGTGGCAAAGTGTAAACTAAAGTATACACCATAGTGTACATGTAGCAAGGTCCTTACCTATAATATTCTGAATTTTGTGCTCATTTAATTTTTAGAATAGCAAATTAACTTTTCAAAATTTAGTATGGCCAAAAAATTATTTATGGTTGCCAAATTTTGCATTGGTTGATTTATTAAAAGTTTTTCCAAATAATTTGTTAATTAGGGGTTTGGGATAAATGTCCATTTTACACCTAATTACTAAAGTTAAACATTGTTTCTCCAACTTGGCCAAAAATTGATGAAACATGTATGCATGAGGTGTTTTAATTTAAGCATGAGGTGGCTAACTAATGCATGAGGTGTGTTGGATTTAAGAAAATGAAACCATGCAGCCTACACATGTTGAATTTCTTGAAGAGTCACCCAAAATTAATCATTTTTCTCACCTATAAATAGTTGTGTTGCTGCCCTTTATTTCTCTTCCATAAAAAACAATATCACTTGTTTAAAAAAGGGCAAAAAACGTGAGGGAAGAAGAGGACCAGCCTAGCATTTCTCAATTCATTTTCAACCAAGATTTCTTCAAGTTTTATTGTGAGATACTTTCTATGCTTAAGTGGTATGATTTCATGTTAATATTTATGCTTAAGCTATGCATGAAAAACCATAATATGAATGTGGTGGACAAGTCCACAAAGTTAGATATCTATTTATGCCTTAGGACAAGTCCGAAGGGTACCTGCAAGCCGGAATGTGCAAGCATGTGTTTGATTGCATTCTTTTGTGTAGTATTAACATGATAAAATCCAAGCATGGTATCTTACTGAGTATTCTTTATACTCATAGTGTTCTATACTAAATTCTCAGATTCATAATTGTGGAGTTGGTGGAAGTCAGTCGGCAAAATCGATGATGGATCAAGGACAAAATTATAAGACATGATGTAATATGAAACTGGAAGTAAATTATGTAATTATATCTATCATGTTATGTTAAGAGACATTTTTTTGTTTTTACTTTCCCTTGCAAATGATAAAAAGGCAGAAACAGGACAGTTTTTGGGTCAACTTCAACACGTTATGTTTGACTCCATAAACGTCCATTTGAGACTCTGAAAATATTAGTGTGTTCCTCATTGAGTTGTCTTAATATGGGCACAAGAATCACTCAATTTGGATATCTGTAGCCTGAGATATAATTTTTAAACGTTGAAGGGTCAAATCTGAAATTTCTGTGCAATACCTCACTGTTTTCAGTAAAACGCCCATATTATATGATCTTGGATTTTTTTTATATTTTAACCTAGAAAACTACTTGAAAATATCTTTCTAATGTCATAAATTTCATAGAAAATGGAGTGGGGATGAATTTTATAAAAATAGTCGAACTTGCTGCCCCAACTAACCGTGGCAGTGCAGAGTCCGTATATGTAAAGTATAATTTCTTGTCGACATGCGCTTCTGCGGGCCATTAAAATTTATGAGAGACATTTTACCAAGTTGAAAATAAGTTTCTAACATGTAATACTTCTATTGAAGAGTATTTACATGTACCAAAGGCAGAAGCTATTATGTTTAGTACGTGACACTTGAAACTTAAGTTCGGGGCGTCACAGCGTGGTATCAGAGCAGTTATACTTTTCTGTAGACTTTTTTTTAAAGAAAGTTACTGTCCTTCATCATCGAGTAAGCTAGCAACTGACTTTCTGTAAAATCCCGAATTTTTACTTAGCATTAATTTATTTAATAGGAATGCAATGTTCAGTTAAGTCCTTATACAAGTTAATTGGTTATCTCTATAGTTAATTTGGATCTATGTGAATATCTTTATAGTTGAGGGACCAAAGTGAAAATGAGTTTCAGATTTTATACCTTTATTAAATAGGCCGAATAGTTAATTATTGAAGGAGTTAGAATTACCCTATCAATATTGGGCTCATTTTGAAACTCGTAATAAATGATGAATTATGGACTCAAGAAAAATTCAATTTGGATTCGTTAAACTTGAGTTATAGCCAATTAAGAAAACTACTTAGTTAATAATATTAGTTATTAATTCGAGCTAAATTACTATATCAATATTGAACTCCTTTGATAGATAATAATTAATTATATATATTAGGATTAAGAAAATGATATTTTGGATAAGTTGAATTAAGATGGAATCAATGGAAGAATCAAGGTATAAATGAAATTCTAATTTATTTAGTATGCATACAGTTTACAATTCTCGGCCATTAGGATTAAAATATGTTAAGTATTGATAATTACGAAATTTAAAAATAATTGATTAAAACATAATCATAATAATTTTCTAGAAACTATTAAATTCCTTTTTAATGCTAATCTACTTTAATTAGGACAGAAACTATTGTTCTTAATCATGTAGGATTCGGATTATGATAAAGTTTCCTAATAATTTTAGTATTAGAATAATTGGGACTCTAATTAATTAAACTAGTTAAGTCGTATAGATTGGCATGGAAACTTTCTGTCATTTATTTTGATTTAATCAAAGGTAGGAGATAAATTAGTTATTTGTTTAAGTTGTGAGTTGTATAATATATGCAATTAGGAGACCAATTTGCCTTACTTTTCCACGTGTTGACATGATATGCAGTCATTGGGTCTCCTCATTAAAATTGTATTGGATTTGGAACTTGTCAAAACAAATAGTCAATCTCCAATCAAATTATATAGGAGTCT